CTAGGTACTAAACGAAAATGGTGGAAAATATTTGGTTCGATAGATACTCCTCTAAAGGAAGAGAAGAGGAAAGCACAACCATTTATCATCAATACGTAAAACATATCATGAGATTGTCTCTGAATATAATTACATTCATGAATCATTACTGAAGGACACTCCAAATTTAATACTGATTACAAGATGAAAGAAATCTTAAATGAATTATGAGAATACATATGAGTCGATGGATAAATCATACATACTCATTATGATATATTTGCATATACTGTTGCTCATGAGATGATATAGTAGGATGACATCAAATCATGCTTAGTTAAAAAATGTCAACAAAGAGCAGGTTGGCCTAAACGAAAAGAAGAAATCTGGGAAGAATTATATTATTTGAAAAATGAACGGGTATTTGGTCCGATAGTGCTAAACCAACAAGTGTAAAGCCATTAGGACATAGATGTATGTCGTCCCTGGTCCCTTGGGCTTGGGGTAAGCCTGAAAGCAATCTTAGTGAAATGTGAGAGGCTCATTGCGTATGCAATCACTATTTTATCTCATGCCTTTCTTCATTCATAGTTCGATATACTGGTGTTATAAAGCGTATTGGGAATAATTCAGTCATAATGCGTAAGAATCTCTTTTGGCGCAACGTTTCTCACAATGCCCTAGATTGATCACAAGAAGACTTACTCTCCTGTGATGGAAGTATAACGTTCACTATTTAATTATCCTAGTAGTTTCCAAAGGATTGGAAATGCAACTCATGGATGTGGCTACTACATATCTTTATGGGATCTAGATTCAAAGATATATAAAAGTGGTTGATGGCCTTACCTTACCCAAATCAAGTAACTCCAAACCACAGAGTGCATGTACAATAAAGTTGAAACACACTTTACAGATTAAAGCAATAGACGGATGTGGTATACCCGCATAGGTGAATACTTGATTGGGAAGGGATATAAGAATGGCAAATTGTGCCTTTGTGTCTTTATACAAAAAAACAAGTTTTAGATTTTCAATCATAGTTCTATATGTCGATGTTATGAACATAATAGACACTCATCATGAAATAAGAGAAACCATAATATACTTGAAACCTTAGTTTGAGATGAAAGATCTTGGGAAAACTTGGTTTTGTCTAGCTATAGGAGCTCGAACACAAAGCTTGTGGAATATTGATATGTATATGTCCAGAAAATGATCAGGAGATTTAACATGGACAAAACGCATCCGTCTAGCACTCTCATGATCTGTCAAAGTGTTGGATATAAGGAATGATCCATTTCACCTAAATGATGATGACGGAGAGGTGTTGGGAGTTGAAATTCCCTATCTAAGTACAAAAGGAGCATCATTGTACTTACCACAATATACTTGACCGTATATTGTATTTTTCAGTGAATTTATTAGCTAGATTTAGCTCAATGTCAATGCAACATCATTGGAATGATATCAAGTTAATCTCTTGGAGTAATTGATGTGGGTTTATACTTTCCCTACATAGTGAAAAATGGGATTGATAATGGAACTTTAGTACCTAATTAGAATGTGAGTGGCAAAGGTACTAGTCTTTGTAGAAAAACACCAAAAAATGTTTAGGTATGTGGTTGCTGATATTAGGTATCTGTCTGACCTATACAAAGGTTGTTCCCAAATTGGATAAGGAATTACCATAAGGAACACGTCGATTGCTTGGAAGTAAACTAAGGAAACCTTTGTAGCTACCTCCTCGAACTATTACAAGAATATTACTCTACATGAGACAGGTAAATAGTGTACATGGTTAAGGACTATCATTACACACATTAAAGGAGTTAGTGTTTTGAGTTCATATCCTACTTGCATATATGGAAACTATGCACATACCTGCATATATGGAAAAAATGCATCATGTGTCAAGTAAGGGAAAATAAGATACGTGAAGGGTGATAACACAAAAGATACTTCGCCAAAGTTGTATACAATTGACGATAACAAACTCTTCTCGAGATTCAAGTAAAACAAGTAATATTTAATGAGAACGTGATAGATGTGTTTACTAAATCATTACCTAAAGTGGCACTTGAGAAACACGTAGACAATATTAGAATGCAAATGTTTTCCAAACACCCTTTGACTAATACACAAATCAGGGACAGTAATAGATAAAAGGGGGAATCTACTATACATGTACTATTGATATATTGTGCTCTTTCCTTCACCTAATTTTTATTTTTTCCCATTGGGTTTTGTTTCTTGGTGTAAGGTTTTAGTGAGACAATAATTTATATATCATCTTCTTTTCCTATCTTCCATGATCGATGTACGAATCTGAGGGATATATTAGACTAAAGGAAGAGTCTATATATTGCAAAGAAACGGGTGCGCTATACTCTTTCCTTTCCTATTTTTCTTTTTTCCACTGGGTTTTTATTTTTTGAGTTAGGTTTTAACAAGGCAACAATTGTGCACCATCACTCATTTGACTCGGCACAAGCGGGAGCATTGAAAGATAAGTGTGTTATTGTCAAATGGATATGGCGCAATAGATAAAGACAAACATATTATAGATAGATTAAGATTGATATATCTGATGATTATCTACTTATAATTCATCCATATGTAAAGGGCCTATAATTAATGAAAATGACATATTCAGTCTCTGTTTATAATTGTTCTGTTTTGTTTTTCCTTTAACAAAAGAATATATATATATATATATATATATATGTGTGTGTGTGTGTGTGTGTGTATGTGTATGTGTATTTGTGTGTGTAAAGAGAGGATCAAACGAGAAGTTGATCACTTTGCGAGAATAGGCATGGGAACTGGTCCCGACCCGTCGGGGAGCACGGTCCACCCGCCCTGATCGGGGACGGGGATTCCCCGCTAAATCGGGGATGGGGATCCCCGTTTGTCTCGAACCAGAGATGAGTATTCCCCGCCCCGTACCTGTTATATATATATATATATATATATATATCAATTAATAAATTATATATATATATATATATATGTATAATATTCATTTCAAATAAATTGATAATTCGTAATTTCCTATTTTCTAATTAGGTTTAGAATGTAAAATTGTTATCTTTTTGGATGTTAGTATGTAACGTTTTGGATGTCAAGTCAAAGTACATTTAGTTGATATGTTTTGGATATTAATCGATATGGTTTTATATTACTTCATATGTTTTGGTACATGTGATATTAAGTTTTTTTTAATTAAATTAAATTTCTTTTGCTTTTAGGTTATTATTTATTACATAATGTTGTCATTTTTTTTTATTAAATTAAATTCAATTTGATTTTAGGTTTATTAGAAATATGTGAAATTTAAACATGTGTGGCCTCTCACATATTTGATTAAAAGTAGCTTATATAAACGAGAAAAAAAATCCTCATTTTCCCATTGGAGATTCTCGTCCCCTGTTGGGGATGAAGATGAGGATGTGATCATATTCCCCGACGGGGATAGGGACGAAGATGAGTAATCGGGGATGAGGATGGGGATTGAGGTTCCAGCCCATTCCCATGCGTATGCAAGAAGGCAACAAGTTTCCAGATCATATATGATTCACTACAACAAAATTGACTTTATAGGACGTCAAGAATGTCTAAGCGTCATAATTAAATACTTTATAAAAAAGTTTATAGGACCTATTATAAAGTGTCCTATATAAAACTGTTACTTATAAGACGCTTTTAAGCATTTTAAAAAGTTTTTTAAGACGCTTTCGAATAAAAAGCATCCTATTAGCTACGTTATAGAACACTTTTGAGAAATGTCTTATAAATCCATTTTTTAATAAGACATTTGAGTTTATAGGAATTTTTTTTTACAAATAGTGTTGTATAAAATAGCTAATAAGACACTTTATTCTAAAGAGTCCTAAAAACTGTTAAAACATCTAAAAGCGTTTGATAAATTTAATGTAACACTTTTAGATAAGACGTTTGTTGGTTTGGTGAAATAAACTTAAGTCCTATAAGGTATTTATTAAGCTTCTTAAACATTTTAGACATCCTATAAAATCAATTTTCTTGTAGTGATTACACGTGATAAACACATTCAAAAGAGACGGAGTGACTTGTGAATGCGACCTTTGGTTGTGAGGGAATGTTGCGCACTATTTGCCGACCAAGGCAACATGTGTTTAATCATATGTGATTAAGTGTGCGTATCACGTTTAATCATATATGATATTGGAATTTCTCGCATTTTCACAAATTAATTGCCGATGTATGAAATCCCACTTTTCAGATTAATCATTCATGATAAAAAAGAATAGTTCCAGAGGAAAAATATACAGAAAGTGAAACCAATATCGCTTATGGAAACAAATAATCACAGCATTAATCAATTTAATATCTCCCCACACTTGTTACCTCTAAAACTCCCAATCATATATAGTATTCATCTTCATTTCATCATGGGCTAATGATGCACAACGGAATCATAAAAAATTTATGCACATACTTTGACGTTTGATTTGCAAGAATCAAATGGAGTTGGGGATTTGGATTTCATATCCATTCCAATCACATCTTTGGTTTGTTGGATTGTTTGGATTTGAAATCCTAAGATTTAATTGAAATCATACAAACATAGGATTTAAAATCCTTAGGGAGTGCTTGGGATCTCACGACATTTCGTAGGATTGTATGTAATAAGGTTCTAATAATAATCGATTAATAAAAATGTTATTCAATTATTTTTCTAAATTATTTATAAATGATGGAATCCAATTCCATTTCCAAATCCTACGAACCAAACACATGCAATGATTTCAAATCCTTCAAAGAGATCCAAATCCCATCAAAACAACCCTGCAAACCAAAAGGAGTCCGAGGGGAAATGGATAATGATATTCAATGATTCTCAAAGGTTATAAAGAGATCTTTTTATAGACCGAGTCTACTAAAAGTTATGGCATTTTTATTAATTCGGAGTCTCTTTCTATCTCGTTTTCTTTTCTTCTATTGATCCGTATATGAAAGAATCCGCTAACTCTTGAATCTGTTCCGTATCAACTCACACCTCATCAATTTGATTGCAACTAAACTCGAAAAAACAAATGGTTGACGTCTATCTGGTTTGGAACGATACGTTGAGATGGGAACTTTAAAAGTTTGTTCCCTATGTGCTTTGCAACCTCTAGATACAAAGCATACAATTTATCAAAATCAGTATCACCATCATCCTTCGTTTCACAATCCATCACCTTTTCGGTCGTCTTGTTTTTGATCACTTGTAATGCTCTCAGTACATAAAGATTACAGTCGACCAAAGTCTCCTCCAAAGCTTCATCCTTTAAACTCCAACTGCCCGTATTCCAATTCAATTGGTAGAGGGAAAGAAATCTTTGTCCATAAATAGCTACGAACTCTATTGCAGCAAGAATGAATTCGTATTCCGCATTAGACATGTAGTACGGAAAGCTTATTCTTGTCCAACCCAGCTTTGCTCCATTGTAGCCCTGTCAATACAAGTTCTAATATAACAAACCATGCCGTATGCTATATGCTGTATAGATGAATGATTATTAAGGTGTTCCTCAATTTTTTATTGTTCCTACTGACCCTCTCTATCTCTCTCTTTCTATATATATATATATATAAATAAAGAGAGAGAGAGAGGGGGGGGGGTTTTCAAATAAGAACAATAACCAAATAAAATAAAGGCACATTAAAATGGTCAAATCACGTGCAAAATCACATGTGATTTCACACTAATGATTGATGCAAAGGTGTGCGGGCGGCGTCACGTTAATCACATGTGATATTACACATGATTTTAGTGTAAAATCACATGTGATTCAACCGTTATAGGACGAAACACTTATTTGTAACATTTGTATATATGACAATTGTTTTGATCTATCCAGACATTTGTAACATTTGTAAAGTAATCTATTAAGACACTTATGGGTCGTTTACCAAATGCTTAAGTTCTTACGGGTAACATTCTCGACCATCAACATGGATTGCGATAAGTGCTTACCGAGTAAAAGTCTTGGTCCTTGCTATGCCTCTTACCGAATAAGATTCTCTCTAGTGACACCCGGTAAGAATTTGGTAAGCAAACCCGAATATGTTGTATTGTATGTTTAAATAAGACTTACCATTTCAACTGCAGATTTTATTGCAAATGAATGTGGTTCATCGATACGAAGCAAGCGATGAGCATACGGTCCGGCACAAGCGCACCCTCCCCTAGCTTGGATGCCAAAGAGGTCATTCATAAGCTTGGCAACAAAAGCACCACTAAGAGGCTTGTCTCTTGTCTCTCTGGCTGCATTAGCTGAAGAGTATGTAGTTGTATACACAAGGAAGGATAAAATTGCTTGTCTTTCTACAACACTATTTGTATCTGTATTTCCCAACACCCATATCTTTGGATTCTTCACAAGTCTCTTTATTGCCCTTTCAATGTAGTCTACCTCTTTCTTGCCAATAACTTCACAACCGATATATTCTTTTACCTGAAACGCTAAAGCTGCTTTCACTCGTTGGATAATAGACGGTGTTCCCGCGTCTTCCCTTTCTTCAATGTCATCAACATATAACGTGTCCTAGAGTTCATAACGACGTAACAAATTGGTTAAATATAGGATACAATACAAGCCATCTTATTTTTTTCTGTCTTATTGAAAAACTCCGTTTGGTTGGCCATCAACTAGCTTATAAACTAGTTTTTTGAAAAATTATTTCAATAAGCTCTAGGAGAATATTTTAACTTTTTCCGTTAATACCCTTTATATTTTTCCAATAAATTTCAACATGTTCTTTTAAATGGTTTCATAATCTTTTACTAATCTTTACCAATCATGACTAGTTTATAAGTTGTACCTTTTCATGGAAGCAATTGACAAAGTTAACAGTGCCACCTCCACATGTTGAAGGGGGAGAATCTTTTAGCTGGTATAAGGCTTTGTTCATCAGAAGAATCCCTGGTGATCCTGGGCCTCCAAGAAACTTGTGTGGACTTAAAGTTATGGCATCATAGCCATCACTGGCACCTGATCTCATATCAATCTCTACATATGGACCGCTTTGGTTCATTCGTGATTACAAGTATATATCAGTCTCATGTCTATGATCAGTTATTATTGCTATAAATGGAAATATAAAACACTATAAAAGAAATCTGTTAAACATGTCTAAATATCTTAATAAATTACGTTACAAGACTTAAAGTTTATAGGACCAAATTGTGCGTCTTATATAAAAGTATTGTCATATGTTTATAAGGATCTTTTGAGCATTCTAACAAGTTATTTAAGACATTTTAAAATAAAATTACCTATTATCTTTTTATAAGACATTTTAGAAGGAAAAGAAAGTGTTATATAAACGTATCTTTTGATAGGACACTTGTTTTTATGAGGCACATTTTTAAATGATGTTATAACAAAATACTAATAAAACGTTTTATTTCAAAAGATATCTTAAAGAACTTGTTAAGTCGTCCAAAAACGTTCTATCAATTTATGGTAACACCTTTATATAAGACGCACCATGTATTGTTTTGGTCTTTTATATAAACTTAACTTAAGCTTAAGTCGTATATAATAATCTATTATGATAGTTATACATATTTGACGTCCAGTTACGAGAATTTTGTTGTAGTGAAAGACGTACCTTGCTGCAAAATCAAAACATGCGAAAGCACCGAAATGGTGAAGCAAGCGAGAAAGAGAACGGGTATCGGAGCAAATTCCGGTGACGTTACTACAAGCAGAGAAAGAACCCAGCATCAGGCGGCCAGTGGCTTGATAAAACTCCAATTGGCACCTCAAATCATGCATGTCGATCAATCCTTCATCATCCAAACCGATCTCTATTACTTCTGCTAGGGTTTGCTTCCAGGAGAGGAAGTTGGAATGGTGTTCATAAGGACCAACAAAAACCACCCATCTTTCTTGAATTCCAACACAGGAGTTTATAACTTTCTCTCTTAAATTCGATGGAATCGCGATTCCCATGACTTCTTGGAGTTGTTTAATGGCTGCCGTGGTGCCTGAACCGCAGAAAAGGAGCGCATCATCTTGTGTTCCGCCTAAGCATTTCTTGACAAAGTCGGTTGCTTCGTGAAGCATTTTCGTGGTCCGGTTGCCGACATAGCTATCGCTTGTGTGAGTGTTGCCTGAATACCGATAACCAAAATCAGAAAACTAGTAAAGCTGACCGACGTCCTTAGCTAAACTTTCGCTACAATAAAATGGGTCTTTTAGAACTTACATGCATCCTAATAGAATGCTAAACGAGACTTTAGGTTTATAGGATAAAAAATCGACATCCTATCTAAAGACGTCACAATGAGTTCTTTGAACGAAGTTAGACTAAACAAGGACAATCTAATAAGACACAAAAGGTAAGTCGGATGATTAGTGTTTTTACAAGGCACTTTTTGAAAGTGACTTATCTATATTATATTATAAAGCATTTGATAAAAAACTCTTAAAAACCATTCTTTATGCATGAAGTATTGTATTTTAATTAATGCACATTACTTAAAATTTATAATTACAAGTAAATTGTGTGTAAATACAACTTATTAAAGCTCCATTTTTGAATTCGTATAACTAACTACAAATAAACATAATCAAATATAAGATAAAAATCTCATTTTAAATATCAAAAATCTAAAATATAGTTAGGATAATCATTGAGTTCTAACAAAATCATTATTTTTATAAAAGCCAAAAACAAATTACTTTGCTATTAGATCTAAATTAAATTATAATAAAAAATTGAATTTAAGGAAATTGTACAAAAAAACGAGAACTTTTAAATAGTTAATTTTATATTAATATTGATTTATTTTTTTCAAATTTTTATGACATCTTCAAATTTATTTTTATTTAAAAGTAAAAATATTATATTTATCGAAACCACATAAACCATATTATCAATAAAGACAAAAAAATAAAATAAAGATGTATCTCCCTACATTACGCGAGTACCCTTCTAGCATATAAAAATGTTAATAGGAAGATTTAGTTTTTGTATCATGTTAGATTGTATAACTTAATAGATAAAACATGTTACATCCCCTAACTTTGTCATAACAACTTGTTTTAAAACCTTTTGCTAGCTAGGATGCACGTTTAAGGCCCAGTAAATCCTCTATTAAGACGTTGGAGATGTTTCAATGTCCTAAAAGACCAACTTTGTTGTAGTGTCCCTCTGACAACGTTCTAATTACAATACAAACAAAAGTAACGTTACCATAGAAGGGAAGAACAGTCTGAATGATGTAATCTTCGATGTATTGAAGACAGCGACCTGTCGCCGTATGATCTGCATACGTGAGCTTACGTCTTCCAAATGGCGTTGAAATCTCAGCCATCCCACCTATTATTTGTGACCGTAGCCACCGTAGTTTAGCATCAACAGTCGAACCAATCTCGGCTACATCTTTTTCATGACCGATCACATCGGCAAGCAGCATGCCGCATTCACTAACGTTGTTGCTCATGTTTCTGACCTTCGTCTGTTGGGTTAATAGCATCGGCGACATTGATTACAATTTAAATGATGAAAGAAAGAAAGATGAGTTATAAGACTATTTAAAGAAATCTTGAAAGAGATTTTGGTGGGTGAATAATGAATCTGTGGTAAGCGAGGGTCAAGTAATAATAAAGCTGTGGTACATGAAGCAGATGTGGGTCAAATGGTTTAGAGGGTGGATAAACTATGAGCGTTGACCTGCACCTCTTGAAATTGGAACATAGATTTAAAAAAGTTCGATTATACATTATTTTTCCATTAAATAATTATTGTAATATAAAAATCAATATCTATATTTATATATATATATATATATATATATATATATATATATAGAAGTAAGATCAAATGTTAACCAAAATTTTTGTGTTAATTTTACAAACCATTTCAACCAATCACAATCCATGTTTCTTTTAGATTTTTATCTAGTTTATAATTTAATGCCAAGGGTAGTTGAGTAATTTCATTTTTTATGTAACTCTCATATCATTAATTAGGAGTTATAAAATCATAAAATCCCAAAAAATGTGCATTTTTAATATTGATATTTTTATTTTTATTTTTTCAATATTGATCTTCCATTTTTATTGTTCTATGGGTTTGTGATTCGTGGAGGAAACACGGTAGTAAAATATTCGATATCGTTCAAACTATTATGAATAAACGCATTGAAAAAGAACTCGACAACATTGAGAAGATTAAAATGGTTTATGGTGACAATCGAGTTCGGGAAGTGAAGAAAATAACCAAAGCGAATGTCTTGGTAATGGATTAATATTTTGTTGTACTCGTTTTAATCGAAATTATGTTTATTATGATGTGTTATGTTTTTTGTAGTTCATGTTGTGTGGTAGTTTTTTTTAATTATTAATATGTACCTAATTCACATGTTCAAATGGAATTCCATGCACGACCCATTTTCATATGGTCATATAACTGACTTTTATGAATCATGAACAATTGTGTTAATGTTAATGCTCTCATTTGAGTATATATAACACTTCATGAACGAATTTTTGTGTCATATGAACACAAGTGTCATTTTTGAAGTTTGATCTCAAATCTTTATATTTGTGTAAGTGTTTGCACCTGGTGTTCATATATGTCAATTTGTGTAAGTGATTGACCTGGGGTTCATATGATGGGGGTTATGTGTTCATATATTTTCTACGATATTCTCTTCCTATGTGGCTTCATCATGTTCAGAGTTATATACGTTCATGTAATGACCCCAATCATATGAGAGCCATGATGTATTCATTAGTGTTCTCGTATATTCTATGTGAAAGGCTGAAAGCTATGAACTAAGATTAGTTAATAAGTTACATATATGTTCATATGTATTCATAAGTGTTCCCGTATGTTCATATGTGAAAGTCACGAACTAAGATTAGTTGATAAGTTACATATATGTTCATATGTATTCATAAGTGTACAATACAATGTTCATAATTCAACACGGATGATTCTACAAACTATAAAAGGAAGGAACAGTTACCGATTTATAACCAATGTAAAAAAAATACATTGGACATCTCTTCTAAAAATACCTTTGTTCCCCTATGTTTTGATATCCTTAATTTTCAATTAATTACAAATATGCCACAATTGATCTCATCTATAGATTTTAAGAATCAAAAGCTTAGATTGGTTTATAAAGTTAACTCAAATTATTGTGTTAACAAAACAACTTGCACACACACACACACACACACACACACACATATATATATATATATATATATGAGGTTTACTTTGCAAACCACGTTATTTATACAAACCGTACAAACCTCATTCAACCAATCATAATATTTCATTTTGTTCATTTTTTTTGTAATTATGAGAGGTTGATTAATCATTTTTATTATGAAGGGTGTTAATCATGAATATTATCATCTTCATTATATTAATTTTAAAGAAATATATGAAACAATTTCATAAAATTAAACAATTTCATGAAAAAAAATTATAAGATTAAACAATGAAATCGACGGATGAAGGTAGTTTGCACAGTTTGTACAAATATGTGTGGTTTGCATTTGATCACTCATCTCTCTCTATATGTATGTGTGTATATGTGTGTGTATATATATATATATATATATATGTGTGTGTGTGTGTGTTTTTGTATGTGTTTTTTTTTTCTATTTTCTTCTTTATTTTTAGTTTTATATATATAATGTTCAATTTGAAAAAAATATAGTCAAAGTAATACTTTTCATCATAACTACCGTTGACATTAAGTTTTGGGCGGTCATGAAATTATTTGATACGAAGCATATCCCAAAGTTAACTAATTTTCTCAAGGATTAAATTAAAAAAGGGAAAACCAAAATAAATAAAAAAACCAAAATTAAAAAACAAATCATAATTTTTATTCTGCTATCTTTCAGCAACTGAACGGGAAGTGGTTTAGTAAAGGACTTTAAAATCGACTTCTAGCCCAGATCCTGACTGAGAGGTGTGAGAGAAAGACAAGTAAGCCTTATCATGTCCCTTCTAAATAAGAGTGTGACTAACTCTCTTAGCCCTCAGCGAGGGCCTCTGCTTGACCCTCAACCGTTTGGCTCATTCTCGTTCCTCACCCTTAGCTAGGAGTTGCATGTCTTGTTTTGCAAAAACAACATCGTTTTTTAAGAAAATATAAGATCTATAATTATTTCTGATATATAAGTCTCAGTAATTATAATGGTATCTATCTTATTGAAAATTTTATATGATTTTGCTCCTTAACTTTTCACTTCAAGAAAAAATTTAGTTAGTGATCAGAATTTTAATGACTATTTATTTTTTGGTCATTAACTGTGACGTTAGTGATGATAATAAAGTTCGTCACTAAAATTTGGTCATTAATATGAATTTTGTGACAAAATACCAAAATTTGGTTACTAAGTGGTCACTAATTCTCATGACAAAAAAAAAAAAAGATTTTTCATATAAAAAAAAAAAAGATTTTTCACTAATAAGGGATTGTTTGTCCCTAAATTCACTAATCAATCTTCATTATGCTTCACAAACATGGCAGATTAAGATATTGCATTCAAGAACATCAAGAACATTCATATGAGAGTTGAGAGGAAAAGTCAAACATCAAAGCTCTGGTCAAACTCTATATTACGTATTGAATTTTTACAAATGAGCTCTCCTTCCTCTAATTACAAAGACAAACCATATTTATATGGTCAAACCTACTAAACATAGTCAAAGTCAAACTCCTATAAGAAAAGTCAAACACGCTGACTTTTACAATTATAGACTATATTTAACTTTCAAGAYSAATACAATTAATACTGATTTTCAGTCCTAACATTCTCCCCCTTTGTATTCAGACTTGAAAGAAATTCTACGCTTTGAGTCCTTGTTTGAACTTTGAAACATTAAGCATAAAATGTCATCTTCAAAAGAAATCTTCAAGTAATCAACTGTTGAGAAAGATCTTCTAGCATTCTCCCCCTCGAATGTAGAATCACGGTGATCTTCTCTTTTGACAATGTAGAACAGATTCAAAAATAAT